TACTCTTTCAGTCAGAAACAATAACAAGCTCTTCACGAGTTCCGATGGCCTCCTTAAGCCTTTCAAAAAACCATTCCCACGAGGAGTCATTCTCCGAATCAACAATTGCAAAACCAAGCGAAAAAATATGATTATCAACATCTAAAACTGCAGAGAGAAGTAAGGTCCTAGAAAACTCATTCTTCAAAAAAGTGCCATCAACTGAGATCACAGGCCTACAATGGCGCCAACCATGAATAGAAGCCTCCAAGCACACAAAAAAATACTTGAACCGCCCATCATTGTCAAGCTCATAAGAAGTCACAGATCCTACAAAGAAAAAACAAAACAAAAAAACAATTAAAATAACTATTAGTCACAGAGAAATTAAACTCTTGTCAGTGAATTGAAAGTTCTAGAGTTTATTAGGGGGGAAAAAAAACATAGGAGCTATTTAGATGTTTATAGTGTGTCACCACAACTCATGTATAAGATACTAAATTGTAGATTCAACATGACTAACCTCCTTTATCATTTTTGAAAAAGATACTAAATGTATAAGATACTCTTTCACACTTCTTAGATTTCTTTATGATTAGAACTCTTTAATCTTTTGGAAAATAAATATGTAAAAAACAAATGACGTGAATATTTACTAAGTTATTGAATTCCATGTCCTTTTAAAAATATACTAATAGTTTCCTGACACACGCAAATCTTTCATACTCTAAGAATAGAAATTAGCGCACAATTACAATTATCTCGAGCTTTAATATGCATAATGCATGTGCCCGCGTATGTAACTCACGTTACATATAAATGGTATGTAACTAGTAACTATATCATGCATATATTGTACAAATAGACAAAACCATAAGCATAACACATAAAAATAAAAATCACCTGGATTTTTCTCCTTGAAAACATTACACAGAAAAGGAATGGATGCATACGACTCCACTGCACTTCCTCTCATTGATGCTAACGCATATCGGCGAGCCATTCGCGCTTTGTAGTAACTAATCTCAACACCATGCTTACCATGCATTATAGACCTCAAATCATTAGGACGCAAACGGTCTGCAAGCCCAATGCTAAAATCGCCCTTTAAAAACTCCGAAACAACACGACTATTTGCTTGACGATGCTTAGCACTAGCAACATCAAGTGAACAAGTATGTTCCTCAATATACTTCTTCACTGCCCAAACATTACCATTTGAAACCTTAGCAGCACGCATCTTCCAAGTACAACTCTTATTTTTACAAACCAAAACATAAAATGAATTATTGGATCTTTCAGATTTAAATTCAAAATGCCTCCTAATAGCAATTACATGCATGAATTTCTTGAGAACCGACTTGCTCATGAATTGATTGCCTACATTCACATCAAACGACATAGGTAACTTTGAAATATCCAAATCTTCAATCAAAAAATTATTCATCGCAACATCAATATCATCTTCAAATTGACAAACGGAACCATCAACATTAGAAGATGACGCCTAATCTCTTGAACTAATAAAACAAGATGAAGAAGAAATAGATCCCACTGCACTAACGGAGCCACTAACAAAATCTATTACCAACGGGAATCCAAGAGCTTCCTTATTGTGTCGAACCAAGTTTAAAAACAACTTAACATCATCATCCCTCTTAAGGTCCGAAACAATTTCAATTGGGTCCTTCAACTTCCTTCCCACAAAAAGTAATAAAGAATGAACGCCAGCATTAAAACCAAACAACTCAAGATTCAGCTCCTCATATAAACACTCCTGTAAAAACTTCAAAGAAGCATCCTCTGGAACAAAAACTGATTGAAAACCAAAATTTGTATATTAGTTTTCTAGACTCCATTTTCCCCTATAAGCAATAAGAACTACCGACCGACGAACCTGTTGATCCACCAATGATTCACCGACGAGCAAATGGAAAACGATGATCCACCGACGATCCACCGACAAGAGAGAAAATCTGAGCGCAGTTACGAGAGAGAGAGAGCTGCGATAAGCTAGAGAGAGAGAGAGAGAGAGATTTGCGACAAAGAGAGAGAGAGAGAAAGACAGAGACGATCGAAAGAAACAAAGGAAAAAAAAGGGTAAATTTAGAAATTTAAAAATTATGGCCTATTAATTTTCAAAACTAAAAATGGCCTATATGCTTTCTTAAGGTTTTAAAATTGGCCTATTTTCTACTATTTCCCATTATTTTAAAACAACTTCTAAACGCGCCCTTTATGTTTCTATCTTATTGTACAAAAAAAAAACCATATTAGATTTTACCCTCATTAATTCCGGACCATGTTGTCATGATTTTTGTTTTTTTTTTCACACATATACATGTTCTGACTAAACAAAAAAAAGAAAAAACTAGAAATGATCTTGTTTTATTCTTTTTCCATGTAATTGATAAAATGACTAAATTGAAATAAACTAATAAATCAAGATTAAGTTTAAGATGTTTAAAACAATAATAGAAGAAAAGAAATATAAGTCATGATTTTTCGATCAATGTTTGGATTGTGCATGAAAAATAGTTTTTTTTTAATTATTTTTGAAGAGTTTTTGTACATATTTAGTAAATAGGATATCCCCTAGTACGTACTGTACGTTTGGTGTACGAGTATGTTAAGTTTTTTAACTGTTAGATATGTATATTTTTTTATTTTTACATGATTTTATGCAGATTTAACGAACAAAAAACTTAACATACCGGTATGTTGGCGTACCAAAAATGGTCTCTTAATAAATAAGATAAAGCTCTTATTGATAAAAAAAAATAATGTAATAAAAGGATATTTATGAAATTTTTAATTTGTTCACAAATAAAAAGTTAAAATGGTAAATAAACAGTTTTTTATCTCTTTTTTTATATGCACCTAATAGACGGTTTCTTTTAAAAAAGCTAATAAAAACCAAAAACACTTTTATGTTATATGAAAGATCTATTTTTATAGCAGGTGTTACAAAGAATATTGTAACACTTTCTAAAACACTGACGATTGACTATAACGATTATGTTCTGAGATGTTAAAGTAATCAAGCAGGAAAAATAGAGAACAACATAAAATGATATCGCAGTTTAGTTAAACAACCTACATCTATGATGCCATACTCAGACAGTGAATAATCCACTAATTCAAACTAATTACAATCACGACTCGGACTTATACACCTAAAGACTCCCTCCTTGATGTTGTTGTCGCTATGATGAATTTCCTTAGTGGCCTTGTCTAGCGAGCACCATTCGTCTTTGAACTGCGCAATGTACTCCCTTCGGCTTGCAGTGTGCTTCATTCTGAAAGCTTTTAATCCTTCTCCTTAAGGACGAACTCAATGAACACTCTTGAAGGCTCACAAATGCAATGACTCTTTATAAATATTTTTTTTTGTAAAACTGTGGTTCAAAGTGAGCTGAAACTAAAACCTTAATATAAGGTTTCAATCTTTCACACGATCACCCATATTTTCCTCCTCTATTATTTACAAAGGAATTTTCATGATTTTCTCTCAACAATCTTGTGCCTTATCACCACATTGAATCTGGTCTCAAATACTAATTAGGTTCATATTCTCTTTTCCAATTCTAGTGGTCAACCAAATTCCTACTCACAGATTGATATAATTTATATCATGCTAATAAAGGACTCTCCCATGCAAGGTAAATCTCCAATAATTAACTCCTCATATACTTTACATACAATCAACCAATTAAGACAATCAATCTAATATTCTTTCCTCAAATAACTCTCTCATCAAATGTACATTTATCTTCATGATTGCCCTAAATCTCCCAAATATTTCCTTTCCTTGACTAAGTCTGCGTTCCTTTTTCAAAAAATTCCATATATACGGAACAATTAATCAGAAAAATATCTTCATAATCAGTCCAAAAATGCCACTTATAAAAAGTATATGTTTTTAAATTTTTACAACTCATTGTCAAAACACTGCCAACTAAAAAAATCATATCATTATTCATCCAATCTAAATAGTCTCAAAAGTAACTTTTATACTAAATAAATCAAAAACCGATTTTTTATGCTAATCTAGACAGACTCAAAAAATTATGAACTAAAGTGAGATTAATAGTAATATACAAGATCATTTGTAGACTTTATAATAAAAATATGCCATTCATAATTACATCATAAAAGTTATTTACTTATTCATTTTTGTCCTATACTTCTACCGTAGAACTATCGTCTAAAGATATTAGTGTCTCGTTCACTTCACAGATTCGAGTTTTTAATTCGAACTGAGATGCGATATTTTCTGAGAGCTTTTCACTGTATCAGAAAAAGTTAGATGTGATATTTTTTGAGAACTTTTTACTGTAAAAATATAAAACTGAAAACTCAAATCGGTGAAATGAACGATGCTTAAATTTACAGAAACCAAAAACACAGTGGTGCACTTTTTAGGTAGCTAGAGGTTGTAATTTGTAGTTTAAAATGAAGTAACACTTGTTTTTTTGTTTTTTTTGTAGAAAATGTTTGCACGTGTTTTGCTTGTGCAATAGTTTTTGTTTTATTTTATTTCATTACACGATTAAATTATGTTAATCAATGTTTACCAGTTTCGAAAGGAATGAATCTTATTACGTACAACTGTACAAGTTTATGAAAACTGTACAAAAGAAAAAATAAAAAAATAATTAAGAAAAAAAGGCAATAAATGGAAAGTCCAATTCGAAATACATAAAATAATGAGTCTTAATTATGCAAAATTTTTAATAAAATTACAAATATATAGGATAGGATAGGGGGCCCATCTCTCTTTTTGATGGGAATAAGGGAGCTGATGCTAGATTATATGTAATTAATTATTGGTAGGCCCATATGTCCAACGCCCTTTTGGTTAACAGGTTGTCATACTTATTATCATCTCTCTTCTTACACTGAAGTTGCAGAC